TGGTTCAGCAGTCAACGAACAGTTCAACGGAGCGTAAATACGCTCGTTCAGCAAGAAGTCAGCAGGTCGCCCCGGAAAATTGTGCATTCGTAACATTAAAACAAACGTCCTGATACAATGTTAACGACAGTTACAAAGTGTGGTTTAAGTTCAGGAAGAATGGTAAATGTGACAACGGAATGCAGACACTACAGGTTTGGCGGCACGTTGAGTCCAAGGTTAAATGACTTAAGTCAGCGCCGGTGCCAAATGTCCGTTTGATCCGACACGCTGTAGCGAAAACGTGCAGCAGTGGTATCAGAGAGGACAATTGAGGTGAGCAGGGCCGCACGTAAGTACAGAGCAACCCCACCAGCCCTCTCTCATTTTGATTCAGCTCGAAAAACAGAGTGAGCGTCCATCAAGATCCAGGTATCAGAGACATCCGGTGTGCGCCAGCCTTGTGTGAGTGCGATTATGGAAGGTTGTTCAAGGCAGGCTGACTGTTTACAATCGCAAGGTTTGTTGAAAAGGCGGATGCAGTTTATGGACAAGAATTTCAACATTGTTGCTGCTGAATTTGAGGGTGAATAGCCGAAAGTTGGTTGACAAGGTTGGTTAGCAGGCGTAATAGTTGTCCACCAATTTTGAGTTCAAGGCTCCGAAGAGGCCTCTGGGACAATTGGTGGTTAGCAGACGTAATAGTTGTCCACCAAGTTTGAGTCCAAGGCTCCGAAGAGGCCTCTGGGACAATTACCGTGACGGCAATGGGTGGATACCGACCGAAAATCGACCGATTGGTGGTCCACTCAATGCACGTTGGCAAAAGGCCAGTGTAGCACGAGTTTGTGATCAACTTAAAAATAAAGCAGACAATATTATGGGCAGACTTTCTCAAGAATGTAGGAGCTCTGTTGGATCTTATGCATGGAAAACTGATGACAAATTATGGCTGAGCCAAGCTGGAAGGCAACTCAAGCACTGTGTGAGCAAATGGCGTGTCGAAAACGCCCGTCTTGTAATGACCCGCTAGTGCAGCCTGTGACGCAGGAGGGTTCCAAACTGTCCGCAGGCAATATTTATTTGTTTTGTTATTGCCTGTTGGTCAAAAACAAAATCTCCTCTCGTGAATAAGCTTTCGGTATTTCCGCTCCATTAGCCATCACTCCGTCTATGGGGGAGTTACAAAAACGGGTTCCAGAAATGCTTGAAAATGGCACAACTAAGGGGGCCAAAAGTTCAAACAACGCGTTAATTGTGCTTGTGAAGGAGGCAAACAGAAAACGCCAGTTTTTTTGAGGATTTCTGGCACCTTAACTAACTGACCATAGACCAGGTTGTAGCTGTCCGTTCGGTTGCAGACATTTTCAATTTCATCAGCATTTCCGGTATTTCACGGTGTCTGACTAGCGTTCCAAATACTGGCAACCTTCCATCAGGTCAGAGGACCGGGAAAAACGGCGTTCACCGTTGTGGACACCCCTAATCAATTTTGTCGGATATCGTTTGGTATTTCTGGGACACCACTCACATTTTACCGCTTGATGCTCCGTTTAACGAAGGGATTATAGAATGCTGCCTTGTACAAACAAAATATCATTGTGCATAGCAATTTGAAACCGGAGAATGTGGTTCACATGGAGGCCATATTAAAGCATATTCGGGAGGCTGGCCCGTGAATGAATGAAGACAAGACACGACTCGCTCGAAGTTTCGTTACCTAACTCGAAGAGTCCATTCCAGCATCACCTGACAATGATCCAGGACTTTGCTCTCCCCAATTTAAAGTGGCCTATACGGCTTTTCTCGAACAAGCAGCATGAAGGATTTTGATGCGAGTTTTCTTTCACTGCGCGCACTGCTACAGAAATTTGAACGTACAAGGGGAAATATGTCTTTGAACGTGTCAAAACGCGGATGCTGGTTCAGAAACTGACCTCAAATTGCACAGGGCCAAGATTTTCACCATGGCAATCGACACTAGTGACGATGGTATCGGTGCGGCCATGAAGCAAAGGAACGAGAAACTGGTTCAGAACCTCAAATTGCACAGGGCCAAGATTTTCACCATGGCAATCGACACTAGTGACGATGGTATCGGTGCGGCCATGAAGCAAAGCAAAGAGAAAACCGAATGTGTTGGTTGTTTCCTTACTAACGCCGAGAAGAAGCACCCAACCGTCGGCAAATAATGTTTAGTGAACGACAAGGACTGTATAAGTGAGCATACATACTGAGACAATTTATTCATTCCATTACCGAATAAAAACCCTTGAATTGATCCGAACGATAAGAGATTTCTAAGATTAACAGGACGCTAGTGTGGTAATTAAGTTTCGTACGTATATCGGTACAACCCGACAAACTAGAAATCCAGAATTCAACGAAGAGTGGCAACCAGCACGTATGTATTCGAAATTGGCGAATATGTACAGCATATGGAATATTAAAACAAGAGAATAAGGAATAGAGCAATGAATAGAGCATCAGTCATGTTCATCACA